ATACACATAGAGGATTCATGTGCGTGTTGAAACGTTGTTTGCAAGCATTTACACATGTTTCAATTGTTTCATTTCAATTGTGTGAGTGTACTTACACGCAAAATATTGTGTCAATATTTGTGTGCTACTCGGGCGTGGGTAACAGACGGCATCACCTTACCCACCAATTAGCACGAAGGCGTACGTGAACCTTAAGATTGCACGCAAATTAATATGCCGACTGCTGTAGGAAAAAAAAAGATACAAAGAGATGTTTACATACAAAAAAACATACAAACCAACATACAAACATAGGTACATACTAACAAACACATATACAATATATTAAACGAATGAAGATATAAACATGAAAACAATAATACAAACATCCACAAACATACATGCAGTCAAATGTACAAACGTACGCAAATCATCCACAAACATACATGCAGTCAAATGTACAAACGTACGCAAATACAAACAAACATACAATTAACCAACCAAACAAACATATGAACAAACATACAAACATAATAAACAAGAATAAACTCGCTGGCAATGCATGAAATAGTAGGACAATAAAAAAATACAGACTCAAAAAAAGAACGAAAAAAAACCACAAATATACTAGCACGATATGTACCGTCACACAAGCAAACATCAACACTTACAAATAATTATCTAAGCAAACAAACAAACACACACACAATGAACATTGTATACAATATAGAGACCCTTACATACATACATACATACACACAAAAAACAACAACATTGTCTACAATGAACGTTGTATACAATATACAAACCCTTACATACATACATTCATACATACAAACAAATAAAACAGAAATTAAACCGCATGCAATGACATTGACAGAACCCACCCCTATAAATAATTAAACCTTTCAAGTAAGCCGACGAGACAAAGAAAAAACAGGGACGATAATGACGTTATATAATGACATGACGTCATCCAGTGTTGTGATCACGTGAGTAAATAAATGTCTAGTTTACCGGGTTTAATAAATTTGACTTGCGTTTTCGTAAATTTTTAATGATATGTCATTTAGATAGCGCTGCGTCCCTAACGCAGAGTCAATAATTCTCGATCAAACAATCAAGCAAAATCATTCCAACATGCGAACATGTTAACAAATGTAGTTCTTCACTGTATTTAGTTTTTTTTGAAGTAAAACAAACTAAACTACCAAAAAATGAGTTATAAACAAAACAGAAACAAAACAAAAACGAAACAGAAAAACGGAAACAAAACAAAAACAAAACCAATCAGAAACAAAACAAAAACAAAAAAAAACAAAAAAACCAAACGGAAACAAAACATTTCCCTACTATCTTCGACGCGTCCCACTTGTACAGGACTGCATCCCAGCACTGTGAATCCGTATCCTGCCTTCGATCTCGCCAATGTTACCTGTACAATTTGCAATGACGATATCAACAAAATATAATTTATGTATTAACGTGCATGTGTGCTTCTATGTGTGCGTGCGTGGTGTGTGTGTGTGTATGTTTATGTTTGTGTGTGTGTGCGTGTGTGCCTGTATGTGTGTGCGTGTGTGCGTGTGCGCGTATGTTTGTGTGTGTGTGTGTGTGTGTGTTTGTGAGCGTGTGTTTAAAACCTTTTTAAGCATCAATTAAAAACTACATACATTTACTTATTTATATATTAAATACCAATAACAATAATCAACAATAGATAATAAATGACGTCATGTCAAAAACAACAATAACAACAACAGCAACAACAACAAAATGGCTAGAGAAATTGTGTTGTTGGTTCTGGTTACATTTTAATTTAAGAAGATTTCACAAAAGCGAAACAGCATCGCCAACGGTTGAAGTTCGAAAAAAAATATTGTTAATAATTATAGTAGTTAAAATTAACAAAAAAAATTATTAATAATATTATACTAGTAATAATTAACAGTTATTAAGATTATAAATAATAAAAAAGAATAATAGTAATAAATCAAAAAACTTACAGTAAAAGAATTCGTTTCGATTATATCCATACTTATACTTAATAACTAACTAGCTTTAAAAATGTAGGTATAGTATTATAGTTTGATAGGTTCAAAAACAAATTAAGGCCTTAGAATAGTTGTTGTTGTTAGTTGTTGTTGTTGTTGCTGCTGTTGTTGTTGCTGTTGTTGTTGCTGTTGTTGTTGTTATTTATTGCTATTGTTGTCCTCATTATTATTTATTTCATACTTTTATTAATTTTTAAGAATTTTTTTGTCTCTTATCAGCAAAAATCCATAAAACCATTTTCCATTTCAAATTAACTGTCTATAATTAATAATTATCAACATTAACCGATTTCACACAATATCAAGCAATTAGAAATTATTACATAATCAATTGAAAAGTTACTAATTAAAATTTAAATTAACTTTTAATCTAATTGAAAATTTTACTTCAGCATCAATAGATAATCTAACATCAACGTCATTCCTTTTTTATATGAACATCACCAACTTAAAAAGTTTGAAAATGGGGGAGGAGTCAGCGAGCAACAAACCAATCATGATAGAGATCATCTCGCAAATGTTCGCGTACGTGTGTGTGTGTGTGTGTGTGTG